CATTGTCATTTTCATACCTAACAATTTTAAATTAATTAAATCATAGGTTCTATTTCCTTTTTGGATTAAAAGATAGAAGGGCAAAATTGTATAATTTAGCTTCTTAAGCATTAAGTTATGAATATTTATCAAACAGTATAAATAGATTCAACATTAAGATTCAGACATTCATATATCTCTTTTCAGTGCTTAAAATTCAGCAAATTAATTATTTCAGTATTCAGAATTCAGAATTCAGATTCAGTGTTATCAAACGGAGCCTAAGTTAGGCTCAAATAATGCATAAACATGTCACTTTTGTGGGGGCTAAACATTTTATTTTTCCCTCTGGTAAATCTATATTAGAACATTTTACACACACGCACACACTACAAACTGTAAATGGATCGTCTTTCATAACTGTTACAGGTTGTACAAAAATGTTCCCAAGTGTTTTTGAGTGTGAAGAAAAGGAAAAAGAAGTTCCAATGCCCCCACCCACATTGGCTGTGGCCGGATTCCAGAAACCCCCAGTTCCAGCTAAGGCTCGACGCCCCTCTCATACTGCCCTGTTTCATGATGGATGAGGGGCCTCCCTCGACAATTAAGACGGTTTGCTGTCATCTTTTCTTGGTCCAAAAGAGCTACACCACTCACATTATAGAGGCCGTCATTAATTATGGACATGACAAATAAAGATTGCCTTCCCTAGTTTATGGCTTCGCCAAGCTCAGCATCCATCATCCAAAACTTACTTGCAGATGTGCTTGAGGCCCAAAACTGCTGCTCCCTGCCAGCAACAAAGCCCCGTTTGGTATCTGTCACGCGCCGCCGCCATCAAACACCAAATCCACGGGGGCCACCAGTTATGTATACTAGTGTGTAGTGCCACAACACTTAGGAGTTAGTAGTTATTCTTTTGATACGGCAGCCGACTTAAAGAGCTTATATATTGGGTCTTAGAATTCGGTCAGTTCTTGGCCACCGCCAGCGAGCAGGGACATTGTTACATATGAAATCATTCTAAAGGCGGCCGTGTTCTTATATTATTATATACTACTCGCTACTTTAGTGAAGGAGAAAAGGAAAAAAAAGCACCACCTAGTTCTCGCTTGGAATGCATGATCGCGAGAGTTTTCGTCCGCTTTGGGTTGTGCATTATATGGGATAAAAATGGTCATTTTGATCAACAGTAGTATTTGACTGAATTGAACGACCAAAATCTGGTTATTTACGCCACCATGAGTTGGTTGTGTTGCAAGCAGGTGGACGTAAAATTGCATGCACATTGATTTTCGTCACTCAATTTGATTCAAATCAGTCGTCGAGCAATGGCATGTCTATTGATTTCTACTCAACCTCGGGCCTCTTCCGCCTAGCAAATAGTACAGCAAGGTGTTTGCTATTGGATTGGGCAATCAAAATCAGTTTGGGAATGAGAAACCCCGTGCTGTCAGAATTGGGGGAATAATTCGGAGTAAACTTTGACAGGTTGATTCCAGTAATAGATTAGAGGGTCATTATATGAACTTGGGTTGTCAATGGGTCGGGCCGGCCCGCTCAGTTTTTAGAAAATTAGGACTGATCTTCTAGTTTAACAGGATTGGGTTTAACAGGGTCGGGAGAGTTTGAATACAAGTGTAAGACCCAATTTTTTAATGTTGGATGAGTTTGTGTTTTATTAAGTTTGGCCTAATTACAGCCCCGACCCAAATAATTTTATATTTAAATGTATATTATATATATATAATATAAACTATACATATTATAAAGTAAAATATTAATAATTTATATAAAATCACATAGTAATACATAAATATTAAACATGATTTTCATAAATAAATAAATAAATTATAAGCATATGTTATATATGATTACATATTTAATTGTAAACTTGGGCTGAACTTAATGTAAGTCTGAGACTCTAATAATTTGTAAGATATGAGTTTAAGCTCGAAGCACAAAAGTCAAAAGCCTTTTTTTTTTTTGTGATTCAAACTTGAACTTGTCGAAACTTAACTCACAAGACTCGATTGACAGCCTTAATATAAACCAAACACCTGCACAATACTTCCCTATCAGTAAACCCAATGTTAGGTTAATCGCTGGAGTCGATCCAATAGTTAAGAAAGAACTGTTAGAGTATTTTTTTGCTGCCGAGTTTAGAACCCTATACTTAGTAGTTGGGGTGTGAAGAGTGCGTTGAGAGATGGGATTTCTTTTACGGGATTCAAATCATATACTTGGTATTTAAGGATTAGAGGAGCTAAAAAACTGTCAGGTTACACTTAAAAAAATGTCGAAGTTGCGTTAAAGTCAATATAATACACTAAACTCTCTGCTTTAAAGAAAGTGCTGGAATAGAGTATTAAAACACGCGGGAAGATGCCTAAAATCTTCGATTTATTTATTTTGTAAGGCCTGATTAGGTGCCGACAAAACTTTTAAAGGCAATTAAAGGAAACAACAATATATTAGTAACGGAAAAGCTCGTACTTTTAAAGATTGTACTATTGTGCTGAGGCTAATAAGTCACTCTGGATTACTGGTGCAGCGAGAAGCCTTAACACAAAAAAACAACCAGAAATACGTGCAATAGTAGTAGAATATAAGCTCTATAATGACGATTGAAGGCGGAAATTTTCAAATCTCGTGAAGATTGAATTTCATGGATGCTGGACTTTTATAGCAGCTGTTGTTGTCTAGAAAGGATGGAATAATTGGATTTAAAGACGCAATAGATGATCGCATAATGTGGATTGTACTTTTTTTTTTTTTTTTTTTTGCTCGGAAACGATAAACCTAACGTATCCTATACTAAGGGGAAGGGGGCGGGCCTAAAGATTCCCAGAGATAAGTCGGAAGGGATTGAACCACCACCGGACCAGCATAGCACACCCGTCTGAATTTTTTAAAAACAAGCCACTGAAATGTGACATTTTTGATAGGAGGTAAGGTTCGAACCCTTGTCTTCCACCCCATCAAATAGGTGGTGGCCACTGTGCCAAAGGCCCAGTGATTATAATGTGGATTGTACGGCTAATTACTCAGAATATGGTCGAGAAAAAAAAAATTCGGACGTCTACAGCTCTGACAAGGTTCTGTTGCAAATCTATGACACAGCCCGGCACCAAAAGTCAGTCAAAATTTTTTTTTCAGTCTGACACAGCTAGACAGCGGAAAAAATCTTTTTTTTTTTAAGTTGTTTGCTACCGGGCTGACAAGGCCCAGTAGCCAACAACTTCTCCGAAAAAAAGCTGGCTGCCGGGCACTCTCAGCCCGGCAGCCAGTTTAACTTAAAAAAAAAAAAAAAAAAGCATAATGGTATAAAGAAGGATCTTCAAGCTTTTCTTTGGGAAGTCCTTATCCTGATAACCATGCAAGTAGTAGTCCGTTGTGAGAAGCAACAGAATGCAATGCATAGGTCTGGTGACTGCTTTTGCAGCTAATTGTATAAGAAATGCACTTTTCTTCTTCTTTCCGTTTAGACTCCCTTCCACTGACCGGAGCATGGCCCTCAACTTCCTTGCTATTGTTATACAATCATATGGCTGGTCTATTTTATGCTGGCCAGAGACCACAAAGAAGACTCCATCCATACTCACTCCAGACGTGGCTTTGGACCTATTTCTTCTGCACCATTTGTTTAGTCCTAAAATTTCTTCTGCAAATTTTTTTTTTTTTAAGTTAGACTGGCTGCCGGGCTGAGAGTGCCCGGCAGCCAGTTTTTTTTTGCATATTGTCAGCAGACAACTTGAAAAAAAAAAAAAAAGATTTTTTCCGCTGCCGGGCTGACACAGCCCGGTAGCGGTGTCAGACTGGAAAAAAAAATTTTAACTGCCCGGCGGCCATAGATTTGCAACAGATCCATGTCAGAGCGGTAGACGTCAGAAATTTTTTTTTTCGACCATATTCAGAGTAATTAGCCGGATTGTACTAGGGTCGGACATTTTGCACGTTGGGAAAAGATCGTTATCCATAATAAATTTTTTTAAGCTTTGAGTAGGTGTCCGGTATGGGAATTCCTCCACACATCCCGCGGCAACTTGAATGAATTCACGTACCCAAAAATGGTAAAATGTTGGTTTTCATCATGGTGAATTATATAATACAGCTGAAGTTTGACAAAAAAAAAAAAAAAAAATCATGGTAAAGAAAAGGCCATTGAAAATGTTTTTGTTTTTTTTTAAAGCACGCTTCATGCTCACCTAATTTTTTGTCACACTTTTACCGTTATCTACAAAATTGTTTTGTAATAGTTATCTATAATCACCATTCCTTGTACAATACCAATGAAAGACAACGTAGAGCTGTTATAGATCTACATTAATAGATCTACATTAAACACCAAATTAGCACTTTGCTCCAATTCAACTGTCACCACACCAATTCAAGTTATCCTAGGGGCCTTATCGAGTGCCTCTCAAATTTTGCACCTTTTTTTTTTTAACCTCACCCTGTGTAATACTAATAATCCACCAACCACAAAGATGGGTAAGGCGTACTAAGGTTGTGTTTGAATTGCATTTTTCGTCATTTTTCATGGAAAAATTATTGTAGCGATTTGATGTATGTGAGGGAAAAAGGCGATAGGGAAATGTGATCACGGAAAACAACGTAATTTTCCGACGGAAAGTTGCAATCCAAGCAAGGCCTAAATAAGTGCTGTGTGATAAATAAATATTTCAAAAGAGATTCGAATTCGAATTGATAGGAAGGAAGGCATGATGACAGTCATTCTACCACCAACTCAAGAGACGGATTGAATTTACCTTGTTAAATAGACATGTAGGACAAGACTCATACTAACTGTGAGGGTGAAATCATTCTATTTGGGAATTCTAATGGCTAATTGTGAACCAACGGCTCCTGAATTGGGTAGGCAAATAAACAAATGATGAATGTGTCTTCTTTGCATGAGTTGGCTTGAGATTACCATGATACCCTGCGGCCTTGCAATCAAATCCCTCCCGTTCAGCTAACAATCAAGAAAAGAATTCCATCTGACCATAGCATTTAAATTTGGACGCCAAATGTCCTTTCCAGCGCCACCACTGGGCCCTTCATTATCCTAAGCTCCAAGAACCACCACAAACGGTGGCGCGTAGTCATCCAAGCGCGTGGCCTAATCCCTTCAATCTCCTCTCCAGAAAATTGCTATTGGCCAAGAAACCTTCCACAACATGCACTATTGCACTTCACTCACTCACACATCTACTTCTCCTTTCAACTCCCCCAAGAGGACCAGGACAAAACGACTGATCTGAGACTACTGCCTTCTTCAACTCCGCAGTCCCATTACGTCTCCTCCATTTTCCCCTCATTTTAAATTGCAATCTCGCTGCGCAATACGCACCCTGATTCTTTATAACTCCATCCCATCATCATCATCATCACCACCACCAGCAGAAGTAGTACAGTACAATCACTCCAGAGCCTCGTGGCAATAGCATCATTGGATTGAATGTGGTATTAATCTAAATTCCCCACTCAAGTATAAATAATGCTCTGCTCTCATCATTTTTAGTTTTAATCACAATCTAAATATTTGTCCTTTGAACTTTCTTTTCGGTCTTCCCATTTAACTGTTCTTTTCTATAGTATTTTGGATCAATCACTCTAGTTTAGTTGTATTAGATGTCATAAAATTCATTACTCGGGCCACAATTTTGATTTATAGTGAATCTGAATGGTGGATTTTTCTGGGTTTTACTTAATAACGTAATTCTTTTGGTGCAAGTTAAGATTTTGTTGGAGACTGATTTTTTTTTTTTTTTTAATTTCCCAGACTTGGGTATTGCTCTTGTGATTTTTCTGCTTGAGGAATTGTAGGAAACCTGTTTTGGAAGTCTTGGCTTTGGTTTTGGAAGTCTTGGCTTTGGTGGTGTATTCTGTGGTTGATGAGACTTCGGTTGTTTGCTGAAGCTGTAAAGGCCTAATGAATGTTTTGGGAATTCTGGCATCTGGGTTTGTCTCGCTTTGGTGTTCACCATAATGGGCTGCGCTTATTCAAGGGCTTGTATTGGAGGGATATGTGCACCAAGAGAAGTCAAGGTTAAGGAAAGTGACAAGGTTAAAGCGGCTGAGATTCGAGTGTTCTCACCTGCTTCTACAGATGAAGAAGGGGAAGTTAGAGATCAATTTAACCAGTCAAGTTTAACTAGTGATCATGAGGTAGGTATAAGTAGACTGTCTAGGGTCTCAGCCCAATTTTTGCCCCCAGAAGGCTCACGGACTGTGAAGGTTCCGACAGGGAATTATGAATTGAGATACTCATTTCTATCTCAGAGAGGGTACTATCCCGATGCACTTGATAAAGCTAACCAAGACAGTTTTTGCATTCATACTCCATTTGGAACAAGTCCAGGTGATCATTTCTTCGGGGTTTTTGACGGCCATGGGGAGTTTGGGGCTCAGTGTTCGCAGTTCGTTAATCGGAAATTGTGCGAAAATTTGCTTAGGAATGGTAAGTTTCGTGTGGATGCTGTTGACGCATGTAATGGAGCATTCTTAACGACAAATGCTGAGTTACATGCTGACGATTTGGATGACAGCATGAGTGGGACTACAGCAATTACAATATTGGTCCGTGGTACAACAATTTATGTTGCTAACTCAGGTGATTCAAGAGCTGTTATAGCTGAAAGAAGAGGGGACGATATTGTGGCTGTTGACCTTTCAATTGATCAAACTCCATTTCGACCTGACGAGCTTGAAAGAGTTAAGCTTTGTGGAGCAAGAGTTCTCACTTTGGATCAAATTGAAGGACTGAAGAACCCCGATGAGCAATGTTGGGGCACTGAAGAAGGCGATGATGGTGATCCACCAAGATTGTGGGTACAACATGGGATGTATCCTGGTACGGCATTTACACGGAGTATAGGTGATTCTATTGCTGAGACAATTGGAGTCGTTGCAAATCCTGAAATTGTTGTTTTTGAGCTCACACCCAATCATCCCTTCTTTGTGCTTGCCAGTGATGGGGTCTTTGAATTCCTTTCCAGCCAGTCTGTTGTGGACATGGTATGACATTTGACAATTTTAATATCTTTTGTGGTTTGGAAGCATTGGTCAAAGTCAAAAGTTTTGTTCTATGTACATGGAGACTAATGATTCTATGTTTTATTTGATCACATTTTTAAGTCCAAGTATGATATGATACGAATTTGAAGCTTAAGGACGTTATGTGACTGTTAAGAAGCGCTCATAAACTGTGTTTTAAGTTTTCATTGTAAACGTGGATTGAGGTCATAATTTATTGTACCCACACTTTTATTGATAGAGTAGCCTTAATTCCAACATCACACATGACCATTGGCGTAAATCATCACTTTTGATATGCATATGATGTTTTACATTCTGGCGAAGTTAGTTTCAGGGATCTGCTATAATTACTCTGGAAAGTTGAAACTTCTGTCTACTTGCATTGGGAAATGCCGTTAACATGATGAATGCCTCTGTGTCAAGAAGAATGATGAAGTTGAAAAAAGGAAATAAAAAGAAAACAGTTGAATTTATTAATGTAAATCATAGTTCACCCTGTTACTGCAAGCATACATGTTAAGTTAATAACTTAAGATGTCCTTATGAACTTTTATTACCATTCTTTGTGGTTATTTCTGTAAGCAAATTAAACATGCTATAAGCATTGTGAATGGCTGTAATATCCAAAAATCTTGGATATGCAAACAAGAATCAATAGTGACATGACATGTTGACAAGATATTTAGCACAACCTGTGTAATCATTTTTCGTCATAAATATATGTAGGTTCATATTGAACTACTGTTTTACTAAGGTGGAACTTTTATTTGATTGACTGATAGGATATGATGTTTTACTCAGCTTAGTTATACCATTTTCAAAGTTATTAGCTCTTGGGTTTGATCAATAATACCTTGTAACTTATAGTCCTTGTTAATGTCATCTTTCACAGTGAATCCGCTAGTAGCTTGATCCTGCATTTATGTTGAGCTTTGCTTAAGCCAGTCTGTCTCTATGGACCTGCTTTGTCGTTGATTGCAATACAGCTGTAAAATTGGTTAGATCAGATAAAGACTTTCCAAATAGGTGTAATAAACACTCAGACACGACAATGGTGTCGTCTAAGTTTTGTTGCTATTATTGTTTAATGCTATTAGACGCATGTTAATGACTCCCTTTTAGTTAATTGCTCATTATAGGCTTAGATCAAGATTTCCAACTATATTCTATTCTTAATATTCAGTTTTTCCTTTTAGATAGGTATATGCTAATATTTCATGAGGCCACCATTTCATTTCATGAGGGTGCAGTGTACTTGGTTTCTTGACTTAAGAGTTAAAATGGGAAAACCAAATGCCTAGTTACTTAATCAGTGACATAGATTAAACAAGATCGTAACAAGGATCTGTGCTTGTGATTTATTTGTTTGGCAGCTACACGTGAATTTTTTGGAGTAGCATGAGAATCAGTAAAGGTTTCTTTATTTCTACTCTAACAATTAGATGCAATTATATAGGGTAAGAACTGTCTCTTTCTATCTTATTCCAAATGGAATTCAGAAGGTTATTTTTTAAGGCCACCAAAGAGCAAATAATCATATGGGAGAGGTTAAGTTCACCGCCCCCTGCCTGGAAACCTTCTTTTTCTTGGGTGTGTAGTTGCCACTGATATGCACTATATTGGAAATACAATTTATGTAGTGAAAGGGAAGATATTATACATCTTATGTTTTTCTTTCCCAGTTTGCAAAATGTGCGCACTAGTTAAATCATTTCTTTGATTTTGCATGAAGGTTTTACTACCTTGTCTCTGGTATTCTGCAATCTAAAATTGCATATTTCTGTTTGTTCTAAAACATTTTTGTGGAAATAGAGTTCGTGCCGCTTTCTGTTTCTTTTGTTTGACTCTGCTGGTCAGCCATCTGCATCAACTGAACTTCTTAGTTATTTGGCGTAAGTCCAGACAGGGCCCTTGGAGGTATGGGTTGGGGTGGGTTTTGGGATAAGACACACTTTATCTAAACTTGATTGGTTTTTTGAAGTCTTTGTCTTTATGAGCTTATCCGAAACCACAGTCAATTGGTGTTTGCATTCATAATCATGTCCATTTTTATTCTAAGTAGCAAAAGAGTTACTTATTCTGTTATCAAAATCTCCAGGTGGTAAAACACAAGGAACCTCGTGATGCTTGTGCTGCAATTGTGGCGGAATCTTATCGTCTATGGCTTCAGTATGAAACTCGTACAGATGACATTACTGTAATAGTTGTGCAAATTAGTGGCTTAACTCAGGTAAGAGCATCCGTTTTAGCATTTTTGGCCTTATATTTCAATTTAATCAGTGACCATACCCATTATTCAACTGAACAACTAATTTATGGATGGTCATCTTCTTCCAGGCTGCTGTTGCTCAATCACCAAGTTCTAATGTGGTTTTAAGACCCCCACTACCTCAAGTTGTTGAGGTGTCAGGATCAGAGTCTCCTTCAGTTTTGAGCTGGAATTCTAAAATCCACCGTGTAAGGCAAGATGTGTCAAAGGCACGACTTCGAGCTATAGAGAGTTCTTTGGATAAGGGGCAAATGTGGGTTCCTTCTTCTCCAGCTCACAGAAAGACATGGGAAGAAGAAGTAAGTCTTTTTCTCTAGTATTTAGCATAAGTTTGTTTTGGGAAAAGAAGCACATTCATTGTTTACTTACTGTCTTATATGACCATCACATGTTATACTCTAATAATATCCTATGTGACAGGCACACATTCAGCGGGCATTGCACGATCATTTTCTTTTCAGAAAACTTACAGATTCTCAGTGTCAAGTTTTGTTGGATTGCATGCAAAGGGTTGAAGTTCAAGCAGGAGACATTGTGGTGAAGCAGGTTAATTTCTTGTTATTATTGTATGCTTCCGTAGCAAAAGAAAGTATTCTCTGATTTCATGTGCAACTTGTTAAGCATTGGTAAACTTAACAGTTGTATGCAATTTTAATATTCGACGAAATCTTGTTCTATGTTTTTGTACAATGAAGTCCTCTCTGACACCATATTAGGTTAACAAAGTGTTGTGCTTGATCAATCTAGAAATAGCTATGGAAACAGGTTGTATACAAGCTAAGTTTAATACCTCTATGTATATCTATCGACCTAAGTATGAGCAATTGATTTGAGATGAGGCTGTGAATGTATTGATATACAAGCTACGAAGAGGAGTTGCATGATTTAAACTTGGTGACAGGGGGCGCATAATTCATATGTAGCTCATCTACTCAGGGGGAAAAGAGCAACAGAGTTTCTTCCTTTATTCTAATGCTTCAAGTAACACTATAAATGTCAATAGGGCTGCTATGGAGTCAAAACCGTTTTTAGCCTTGATATGATCAGGCTTTAATTTCATTTTACCTCAATCTTGATATTAAGTTCGACTTGTATATAAGATTAACACTTAAGCTTAAAATTTAAATAGTTGCAATAGTATATTCTTTAGGTTTAAGCATGGCTTGAAAGCTCAGCCCAACTTCTTTTCTTATATAATATCACATTTTCTCAGCATAATCCTGATAAAAAACCTTTAGTGTCTAAAATTATGAATAGCCATACTAATGCTTGTAATGCACATATTGTCCCATAGATGAAACAAGTATATGTATGCATATACAATGCTTGAATTTACAAATTACAAGTAAACTATTCCAGCTTGTTACTAAGTCTTGTAGCCACATATAAGTTTTCATCTTTCAGCTTGAAAATTTAGTGAACCTAGAGGTAAAGTCAAAGTTGAGCCTGAACTGGTCAATTTTAAACTGAAATCATGCCTTAATCCAATTGAACTTGGACCATTCCTTAAGGGCTCAGTTTTGCAACCATAACTAGTGCTATTGTTATTGCTAGTTTAACTTGTCTATGATTAGATGGTAAAACTCAATTGATTAATTGTTACTGCTCTCTATAAATAATTGATTTTAGCTACCGAGACTATTTTAAGGCTAAGAGTGTTCAGAATATTTGAAGTATAGAACCGATATACTCAAAGCTTGTGTCTGCATGGTTTCCCTGTTTTTAGTTTGATACTTTTCATTTGAGAGCTTCCTGCTTTTGATCATTGCTTTGAAATTATAAGCTCTATGGATAATAAATAAAGCACATTTCAGGGTGGTGAAGGTGACTGTTTTTATGTTGTTGGAAGTGGAGAATTTGAGGTCTTGGCCACACAGGTAATCATAGTTTTAATGCGGGATTACTCATTTCCAATAAGAACATGTTTCCTGGCTCTTATAATTGTTAGCTGCTTCTCAATTTAGTCATTGACCTTGTTTCATTTACTTAAAACTGCTTGATTCTAACTTAAGTTACAAGCTGCATTGTGGTAATCTCATCTTGTTTTTTTCTCTACTTTTAGCTTGAAAAGAGTTTTGCTTGGGAAAGCTTTTTGAGACTATTATATTTATTTTGTTCTGCAAATAGCTTTCTAGAGTTAGCCAAATATTGGTATTTTTAATGGAAGTCAGACAAATATTAATAATTCTAATCGTATTCCTTTTTCTTGCTCTTTCTTGTTTGGCTCCTCCTCCCTCTTTCTTTTTCTTCTAGCTGTGTCAGAGGAGCAGATGTATTTCACAAGACATTGAAAAATTAGTTAATAACAAGAAGCAGATTCAAGAAAAAGTCCGTCACAAATTGCTCAAATAGGAAACAGAAACCATGAAATTGATACAAGAACCAGCAATGATTCACAGATGTAACATCCAAACATCTCGTGCAAAAAGTTGGAGACAAATAATTATAATAATTGCGAAACAAATATTCCCCTAATGGCAGCGGCAACCCTCAAGATCTAGTTTTCTTCTTTTGTGTGTGTGTGAGTGTGTGTAAATGATGGCAACAGGTATGGGATTGAAATGTGGGAAGAGAAGGAGAGGAGGAGGAGAGGAATTTAAAGCTGTGGCATAATTTTTGGGAGGGGTTGTAGTTTTAAGTGCCATATTTTTCCCTTTAAACTTTACCGTTAATTTAAGAAATCCACTCCCACATTTTGGGAAGACAATTAAAACTACCAAAATTGTTTTGAATTCGATTAAGAATCTGAACATGTAATGAATAACCCTAGCTTTGTAGGTAATCACTTTTATCTGGAAATTAAAAGATCCATAGCACAAAACAACAGGCACTGTATAGATATTGTATATATTCTTTGCATCAAAGTAAATGTCCTTCAGTCCAATTGGTCTGAAAGTCTCTCTCTCTCCCTCCCTCCCTGCCTCCCTCCCTCTCTTTAAATTTTCATTTTGTTGAATTTTGCTCTTAACATGATGCTATAAATCTCAGGAAGAGAAAAATGGGGAAGTGCCTAGGGTTTTACAACGGTACACAGCTGAGAAGTTATCATCGTTTGGAGAGCTGGCATTGATGTGAGAATTCATTATGCTATCACATGGATTTCAAATGAACTTTTTATTTCTGAATATTAGAGCACTCATTCAGACTTGGCCTGATCATGGATCATTCTTTTACAGTAGAGAATCCTGTAAACTAGTTTAGTGTCCTTGCATTATACAAGCACAATGTCCTTGGAAGAAAGCAAAATCATGCTGATTTGCTTGATAGTGTGTCTGTTATTCATTTCTAGTATAAAATAATGGAAGGTGGTCATACTCTTTATGCATTATTCAAGACAAAAATTATCAGCCTCTATTAGCGATGTTCATGTTGTTTTTCTGTAGATCTGGTTTGGTATTTAAATGGAGGAATTTTGGTATATCAGGTAGCACGGGTCGCTTTTAAGAGTCTAAAATCCATTGCTGATTGTCATTCTTATTAATCAATTTCTTCTTTGAATACATCAAATTGCAGGTACAACAAGCCCCTCCAAGCTTCTGTTCGTGCTGTAACCACTGGAACTCTATGGGCGCTCAAGAGAGAGGATTTTAGAGGAATTCTTATGTCAGAGTTCTCTAATTTGTCATCATTGAAGCTTTTACGGTCGGTGGATCTTCTCTCAAGGTTGACAATACTGCAGCTAAGTCATATTGCTGATTGTCTTTCAGAAGTGTCTTTCTTGAATGGGCAGACAATAGTTGAAAAGGTAAGGATCAAGTATTTTTTAATTGCTTATTTCTCCTTTTGTTTAGAGATGGTGAATGGTGAGATTACAAAGTAATACACTTGTCATAATTGAACTCCCTCACTAACGTGAATAGATTGCTTTAACAAAAACATATTTTTCTTAACAGTTTGACTTTTTATCCCTACAATTTTTGAGATTTTCTTAACAGTTCCAAGTTGCAACATTTATTTACATCATAATACAAAAACTTGTTCCCTGTTTGAGTATATTTTACATCAGTATAGACTAATATCCTGGTTTCCCATTTTGACTATCAATTGGAAATGAATGCTTCTAACGGCACATTATAGTGCAAATATCTGTTCCTGATTCTTCCTTCCTTTTGTGTTTGCAGAATGAGGACCTCATGGGTTTATATATTATCCAAAAGGGAGTGGTGAAAATCTCATTTGACATGGATTCCATGAAAAATAGCAATGCGACCAGCCTTTTGTCTGAAAACCAGGAGGATGATGACCTGCAGAATGAGGTGCTTGCAGTGGAAAAGTCTGAGGGGAGTTATTTTGGAGAATGGATGCTTCTTGGTGAACAAATTGCATCCCTAAGGATCATTGCTGTGAGTGATGTTACTTGTGCTGTCTTAACAAAAGAAAAGTTTGAATCAGTTGTGGGTCCTCTGGCAAAGCTATCACAGGATGATCCTAAGTATGTGGTGACCTTGTCCTGAAATAGATTCATAAAATCAACACATAATTATCTTGATTGATCTTGTCAGCTTATAATGCTCTTGCAATATTTTTGACCAACAACTAGGCCAAAAGACTATCCTGTGAGCTTATCAGAATCTATGGATATGTACGATGCTTCAACACTGGATAAGGTTCAGCTTTCTGACTTGGTAAGGGACATCTTGGCTTTACTTTAGCTTATTTGCATAACAAATTTTAACAAAGAGAAGACAACTGAAATTGTACACTAATGATTATATTTAGGAGTGGAGAACGTGCTTGTATGCCACAGATTGCAGTGAGATTGGCCTTGTATGTGTGAGAGACTCAGGTTCGTGTTTTGCTCTATGTTTTGTGGATTTAGACTTGAATACTAAAATATAGTTCTTCCTATATTTTAAAATTTAGACTTGAAATGGAAAGTAGTGATGGTTGCTGACCTTTTAACTGTGGTCAGTAATGATTGCTAGAGAAAAAAGGTAATGTGTCAGATGAAAATGAAGCAATAGCAAGAAATCCATGAAAAAAGATTTCATTTGCTGAACTTCATTTACCACCTCCCTTTTTCTACTCTATGTTGCAGATAAATTGCTTAGCTTGAAGAGGTTTTCCAAGCAGAAGATTAAAAGACTGGGAAAACAAACGCAGGTTCTGAAAGAGAAGAATCTGATAATGTGCACAAGCCCATCTGCTGGAGTGCCTCGAATTGTATGCACCTCTGCTGATCAAACACATGCCGGCATACTTCTGGATACACGGCTTGCTTGCTCTTTAGCTTCTATTCTTCAGAGCCCACTTGATGAACCATGTGCACAGTTCTGTGCTGCCTGTGTTGTTACTGCTCTGGAAGATCTGCACAAGGTATTTCTTTTTCAAGGAACCCTTGATGATAGGACAAAACCTGTTTTCATCTGACTGTGGTTTTATCAATTTCAGATTGGCATTCTTTACAGAGGTGTGTCTCCTGATGTTCTAATGTTTGACCAGATGGGATATATACAGGTGCAGTTTTACCGGTCTTTTTATTGCATGCTTTTTGGCAATTTCCACATAATTTGATCTTACCAGTCTATATACACTTAAAATAGTTGGCATGATGAATGCAATTAAATTTATTGGCTTTATCGTTTGTAGCTAGTAGACTTCAGATTTGGGAAGAAGTTTTCTGGTGCGGCTGGTGATAGAACTTTTACAATTTGTGGGATTGCAGACTCTTTAGCTCCTGAAATTGTCCAAGGGAAAGGGCATGGTTTTCCTGCTGATTGGTAAATAACCACTTTCACTTGCATCCTTTTTCATAGTAGTACTGTATTGTAGTAAGGGCAACCAATGACATTGGTAAATACATGTTCTAGCAACTCCCTTTTTTATAAGTAAACTGGTCTTTGTGATATGAAGCTGCGGGCAAAAACATAGTACATCAGAAGTTTAGGTGATATTTTCTGAGGTTGCACACGCATTGGAAAAGCATAACAAAATTGCATACACGAAGCGATTGATGCAAGTAGAATATTAAGTGTCTGCCATCAGATGAATTCAAGATTTAACTAAAACCATCATGCTTGTGCTTTTGATATTCACTTTCCAAATATCATTTCATGTTTAAGGAAATTGGTTAACTAAGTCCAGTTTGGCAAAGTGGAAAGTCATCTTATTTCGATTTCGCTGAATCCATTTAAACACTTTATGGTAAATCAGTTTAGGCTGGAGCTGCTGATCTCCACTAGACATTTTTAGTTACTTTTTGGCCTTAACATTTATTTAGCAACATTCACTACCTGAATCTGTCTTGGCACTCTCTGACTTTGTTGGTGGAATTTGCACAGGTGGGCTTTGGGAACCCTGATCTACTTCATGTTACAAGGTGAAATGCCATTTGGATCATGGAGAGAAAGTGAGCTTACGTATGCAAGAATTGCAAAAGGACAGCTAACTCTTCCACAAACTTTTAGTCACCATGCTGTTGACCTTATCACAAAGGTATCACTGAGACATTCAAGTATTTACTTTTATTGATTTCCTTTTAAGTTTGGAAGGATTGAACTGATGATTCCAATTCAATTCAGTTACTTGAAGTAAATGAAAGTTCAAGACTCGGAAGTGGAGGAGTTGGCTCTCTAAAAAGTCATCCATGGTTTGATGGCGTGGATTGGAAAGGAGTCAGAGAACGTACAATTCCAACTCCTCATGAAATATTCTCTCGTATAAATCAACACATGGAAAGCCCTTCTGAAGATAATGCATCCCCACTTAATTCTCCTGTTAACGACCTGGAAGAGCTTAACAACCCAGAATGGCTGGAGGATTGGTAGAAATTTGCTTTGGCATGCAAAATTGACTTTGTTGGCATTCAAGTTTGATTGGCTGAAGTGCCAAGATACAACCTCTTGATCATCTCACCTGTATTTTAGGTGGTAGCATGGAGAAAATGTCTTGTGTTGCTTACTTTGCTATAGAGAACCACTCACTGATAAAACCAATTAACAGGTTGCTCCCTCTGTACATAACTCAAAATGCAAATGATTTGAGTGGTTTTCTTGCTTCTTCTGTCCTCCCATTTCTTTAATGAGAGTGGAGATCCTTGTAAGAATGCAATTGCCAGATAGATAGCAGTTTAGCAAGGTTCCAGAAATTCTCAGTTAATAATAATAGGTTTCTTGTATCTCTTGGTAAAATGATTTAACGATTGTTACCTCAGGAATTAAGATATGTGGAATACTTTTTTGATGGATATCAAAAACATCTGTGTTATTTTTTTTTTCTTTTCTTCCTGTGAATATATTAACATATTATTTTTTTTTTTGGCATTATATCTCTTGATATCTCTGTGTCTTATTTCTTTCTACTATTATTATTACTTTATCATTATCTTTTTTTTTTTTGGGGTTAAAAAAAAGAACCTAAAACATCAGCCTGCATTTCAGGTTGTTTTTTGAAACCTTGAATAAAATGACCAGCAAACTCCACCTTCCACAGTTCCCAAGATATCAAGAACTTATGGCCATATTTTGACCATCCCTTTTTGAGCTTTAAATTGTTCGCTCAATTGCCAAATTAAAAAAAAAAAAAAATTTATGTTCCACAAGCGTTTTCATACGAGGCAGGGAAAGGAACTTTGTCACTCATTTGCATGCATGGCTTTAACTTTAAGTAACCCCAGCAGAAAGAAAATAAAACCGGAAGGACAATGACAGAATCTGTCCGTCCCTCTGCCCGCCTGCGTCCTATATTCCTTTAGCCAAACACCAACAACATCATATCTCGGCTACCTTATGTGAAGGCATGTTCTACAAAAATACCCATCTAAACTCGAAACCCTAGTGCCAATTCCGGGAAACAAACATGATACATATCTAGAAAGGGGTTTTCGATGACATTATACATGACATCACTCCATCTGTTGGTGATATGATACTATAGTGTTTTGTCTTTTTCCGGTGATATAAGCCTTAAATGACAGGTTTGTGGTGATGAAAGAAAGATATATATATGTATATATATAGTTCCGGTGTCATCTTTTAGACAAATTCAATTCGTTTAATACAAGTGTAGGTTGATTAGAATCAACAATGACTAGAGGCCTTTTTTTTTTATTTTATTAATCCCAATACTAATTAGATGATGTGGATTAGGTTTAATACATCTAACTTATTAACTACTTCGAAAACTAAGCTAAAAGGTCAAAGAGAGCTGAGCTGCCTCTCCGTCTCCGGTCCTTATTTTCAAGGATTTACCCTTTCTTTTCTTCTTAGTGTAAAGAAAAAAAATTTGGGCCGGTCAAGTCCAAGAAACTTTTGCTTTTTCCTGTCCTTTTTGTTTCGTATAATTTATGTTTAGAAAATCATTTGACGTCCATAATACTTGTTGGTTAATAAGTTACGGTTTGGATTAAGAAGTACGAGAGAGACAAGGGATCGGCGGCTTCAATTTTTTTTTTTTTTTCCCTTTCTAAAAATGGAAGACTACTTAAAACATGCTTGAACGTCTAGTAATTCCTTGATTAACGACAAAGAAAGTGGAATCATCTCTTACGTTGGCGCTGTGGCGGGTAACGTGCGAGAACCAATTGGTCGTAGCAACATGGATGGGGGTGACGACTATTCTGATTTCTTGCTGGATTGGTTATTGACCTGAATCATCAATCAAAGAACTAGGAGTATAGGTTGCGTTTGGATGGAGGGATTTGATGATTTTTTTTTCAAATCTCTCTAATTGTTTACATTATTTAGAATGTATTTGAATTCATAAATTATCAATTATTATAATATTTGAAATATATTTTAATAATTGAACAAGCTCGATTTGGATGAATTTCAAAGTCTTCGTTAAATTCATGGATCCAAACAAAGCCTTCACCAGCTTGGAATGATAGCTCAATGTTTAGTCCTCAACTGAATTTTGATGGATTGAGTTTTTGAATTGGACGTTAGGTGACACTAGGGCTGCAAACGAGTCGAGTCGAGTCGAGTTTTGACTTAATCGAGTCGAGCCTTGACTTAATTTCATTGAACTCGAACTCAACGAGCTGATAATTTCAAGCTCAAACTCGAAAAAAATAAAAAATAATTATTTTATTTTTTAAAATATAAATCAAATAAAAAAATAATATTTTTTCTTAATAAATAATAAATATATTAATGATATATATGTAATTTTACTATTAAAATTTAAAAAATATATATACTTAAAATAATATATATATATATATATATATATATTCGAACTCGCGAGCCGGCTCGCAACCTAACGAGATTAATATTTTGAATTCGAGTTCGAGTTCGATTTCGACTCGAGCTCGATCAATATTTTGAATTCGAATTCGAGTTCGACTCGAGCTCGATCAATATTAAGCTCGAATTCGAGTTCGAGTTCGATTTCGACTCGTGCCAACTCGAACTCGACTCGAGGGGCTCGGCTCATTTGCAGCTCTAGGTGACAACATATGTTTTGACAAAGAAGTTCCATAACTTGGATTGGACCCTCTCTTGCAAGTTCTTCCTCTATTTCCCATAATGCACATCTGGATGTCATAGGACGTGTTGCTTCATTTATTAATAAAAATTAGGGTTAGCCAAATTTATAATAATCATTTTCTAGGGAAAAAAGGATATAATCATTTTAAGTTTGACTAATTCTAACATTTGTTAATCAACGAAGACACAGGCCGTGTACTCAGATATGACTGTGAAAAAATGAAATGAAAAGAGAATGCATCGGAAAGAAGCCAAGCCCAACTCGTAACTACTGACAATTGAAAAAGATAATTTCTTACAATTTTCAAATTGGATTGTAGAAGCAATAATGCCCTCAATCGTTTCTTGTATTGTTTGTAACGTTAAATTCAGGTTGAAAATACTTGAAGTTAAAATACAGAGATGAAAAGATAACACAACAGTAAATTTGGAAATTTTAACGATTAGAAGTGATTTATGTGTATGAAATAACATTCATATTTTCCTTTCAAGTTCAACATTCACGTCATCAAACTATAGCTCTAAGCGTGCTTGCTCTGTGGGAGAAACTTACCTAGAGATTGCTATAAGCCTGTACGGGGTTGGTGATAGTGAGATATTATCTATGTTCTGAAGCATACAAGTTGAGAAATATTATAGTGTCTCAACCAGACCATAATTCTTGTTTTCGTCAACAAATTTGGAAAAAGAAAAAAAAAAAACGAGGGGAATCAGAGGGCTTCTCCCACGCAAGGAGTTAAATAGTCCTTGATTGAAGGAACCAGAAAAGAAACCGGGGCGAGCGCAGAGCTTGTTGCTCTAAGTGCTTTATTTTTCTAATGGATACAGTATTATAATACATCAACATGGGCAGCAATAAAAGACAGAGGGACGCAGAACGGAAGCCTTGTTTATGAACTTATTAGGCACTAACTTCGTACTGCAATTCAATTATAAGGTGATCAATGATCATGACTTCAAACTTCTGGAGGCCCGAATTATGAATATTAACCTAAGTGATTTTGTGTACAATGTTGATGCAAGTATTCTCATGTTTATTTCTGTGATAAGTCAATTAGCAACTGAAAATATGTCAACAAAAGACGATTAAAAAAACAAGAAGAAGAAGAAGAAGAAAGTACCTATCAAACTAATTCTACCATCTATAGAGGATTTCAATTTTCAACGGGTAGCTAACCAAAAACCAGAATCCAAAACTGCACCAGATTTCAAGAACTTCAAATCCCTGAATACGGCAAAGAAAGAATTTCAGAGACCTTATATTGGATGTTTAAGCATTCAAAGATTGCCTTGTGTTTTGAGGCTGAGTTGATCCTCTCTCTCTCTGTTGGCAAACCATTGAGCTGTTCTTCTTGCGATTGGCAGCCAAAGTCTCCTTATTTTTTCCTCCTTCACACTGTTCTCTGGATTGGATGGCTCTCTATCGTCATTATTCCTGGTGTTGAACTCTCTAAATCTTGGATGAACTATTATCTCTGACATGGATCTCTTCTCAGAGGGATTCAGGACATTTGATTCATTAATTCTTGAATCCCCTTTAGACCCTGATGAAGCTCTTGCAAAGTTTGGTAATGGTGGGAATGAATCATTGTGCTGGATTTTGCTGAACTTGATCTCAAACTCTCTTTTTCTGTCCATTTCCTGCTTAATATTCATCAGTTCACCATCTCCAATCACTCTTGTTGGAGTCGATTGCCCGGTAATACCCGATTCCAAAGCGGAGAATCTGTCACTTGACACGTGATTAAGCATCTCTGAATTCAAGAACATCAGGTCTGAAGAACTCACATTGCTCCAACGATTCTTCATGAGGACAACATCAGAGACAACTATTTTGTGGTTAAATTTGTGAAAGATTTTTCCATTTTCGTCTGCATCACCATTTAGCTGAATTGGCAATTCGTCTTCCTTCACATCTTTTCCTGTTTTCCTACAACTGCTGGCAATACTAAATCTTGAAGATCCCAGACAACTTTCTTCTCTTTGAACATAAAGCTCCATGTTGGATTCCTCTTTTAGCTCTGCTTCATTCCACATGAATCTCAAACTATTCGAATAAGTGAAGCTTGAAAGATCATCGGCACTGATCTTATGCCTGCAAAGTGGACAGCTTGAGTGCTTCTCTAGCCACTCATCAAGACAATTGATGTGAAAGGCATGCTTGCACTTTGGCAGTAACCGAAGAACTTCAATATCTTCGAATTTTGATAAGCAGATTGCACATTCAAGCCCCTCTCTGGACCCCTTCAAAGAAGAGAATCTAAAGAAAGGAAGGGATTCAATCACAGTTTTATCAATTCCTGAGAAACGTGACCTTGAACGAGGCAGGCCATCTGTAATTTGCAGGTTAGTGCGGACAGAGTTGGATGATGTGCTTCTGCAGAACTTTGCATATAGCAGGAGGATAAAAGTTAAAGAAAACATGATAGCGAGGATGCCAATCACCACAGCGAGGCTCGGCTGAAAATTAGTGACCGCATCTGGTGAAGCTACTCCATACTGATTTGCAGATGTCTGTGCTTTGACTTGGAAGAACGCAAGATGAAGAAAACAGATACACAAACTCAGCGAATTCATGGAAAGATGATTGAAAGGTTGAAACTTGCCTAGAAGAAGTCCGCACTTGCGCAGAGAGCATCCTTCTTGAAGATACATTACCTCCTGGTGCAGAATGGCTTGAAAAAAAAAGGTTAGTTTGACATTGTTTTGGCAAGCAAGTATTTAATATGAAGAGTGTACCCTTTCTGGATGGTCAGTTTTTCTTGGTTTCTTCATGTGTAGGTTGTTCT